CATATCTATCAATTCGCGTCTTTGCTTGAGTTGTGGTAGTTTATAGTATCTGCAGCCCTCTTCGGAGGATATATATATCGATCATTTACACATTTATTTTTTTACTTTTTTTCGATTCCAGATTTCCATTGCTTTCTTTATTTTTAATTTTTGGTCGATTTATTTTTTTCCCTTTTTTTTAGTTCTTTCTTTTGTGAAAAACATCAGTTCATATTTTCTTATTATTACGTCGATAAGATCGAAAAATATTATGCATTTTGCTCAGTAATTTGTATCTAAATGTAATTTCCAAAACACACGATTTACCAAAAAAAAAAAAAAAAACCTCCGGGTCCTCCGGGTACTTTATTATAATATTCGCATAACCTATCTAAATCCTCCAGAAACTTTTGACAATCATATAATAATAAACTAATTTTAGTGTAAATTTTGGTATCGTCGGCAAACATTAGGAGCCTAGAATGCTTAAAACATTTGTTAATGTCGTAAAGATAAGCATTATACAGAAGAGGCCCTTGTGGCGAACCTTGTGGGACTCCTGAAGTTATTATAGTTAAGTCAGATTTATTTCCAGCTATCTTGACTATTTGAGTTCTGTTTGTAATGTACGACTCTATTCATCGATAAAGATCGCCATGAATATCCAGGCCATACAGTTTGCGAAGTAAGATGACGTGGTCTACGCGATCAAATGCCTTTTCAATATCTATGTAAACCACATCTGCCTGCCCTCCCTTATCCATAAAAGATAAAACTTTGTGTAAAAATTCCGAGATTAGTAGTTGTGTAATATGAATGGCGGGAGCTATTATCATGCAAAAGTTTTCTAGTATTATTTTTTCTAATATTTTACCTAACGTGCTTAAGATGGATACAGGGAGATAATTGGTTATTTCACTTTTTGTACCTTTTTTGTGAATAGGTATGTGCTTCCTTCTACATTGACGGACGTACACATTCAGTCAACGATCTATTAAATATTATAAACAGGGTTGAATTAAACTCTTAGCAACATCTTTTAAGAAGTAAAGGGGGAATATTGACGCTTTCGGATCCCTTAGATACATCCAGTTCTAACAACAACTTTTTGAAACTCTTTCTGAATGTAAAATATTGTCAGAAGGTGATGAAAAATCAGAAGCGTGCAAATATGATGCAGGATTAGTGAAAATCTTTTTCATTTGTGAAAGCTTCATTGTTCAAGTACAAAGCATTAGGATAAGAATTAGACCGTAAATTGCGTCTTTATTTTGTGTAATACCATAATAATTTCGGCGTCTTAATAATGGCTTCTTCAGTTCTAGTAATGTAAGTTTTAAAACATTCACTTTGAATGTGTTTTTGCCTATTCCTTAGTATTTTAAAAACATCAAAGTCCAGTGAGGTGTTTTTTTTTGGTGTATTGCTAATTAAATTATTTAAAATGTGGTTACAACAGTTAGGCTTCACGTTGTATTCTTTAAGATTACCAAATTGCCAAATTGAATAGTTTGCAAAAATTTATTGGCTGCCGTTTGCTGTTCCAATGAACCGTGTCGTAGTTTGTTTCGTTGCAGTGGTAATACCGTGAAGTTGGTCGTTTGCAACAAACTTCATCATGTCGCTTTTTGGTTGTCGGTGTGCGCGCGCATCGTAAAAATATTACACGCATAATTTTTTCAAACGCGTCAAAAGAATATAACTTAAAAAAAAGAACACCCGGATTGAGTAGTGGTAGTGAGTATTTAACGGTGGTAGGGCCACGCAGCAGCCTCGGCTGTTGCACGCATGGGCAGTCTCGTCCGGGTAAGTACCACGACCTCACAGAAGGCTGGCGTAAAGTGGAAGTATAATACTTTCGTGTTTCGTCTGGTGAGTGAGGTTGGTTAGGAGCCCAATTTTCAAAAGGTTGTCAACGCATCAGGAACCCTCTGGTTTAGCAGATGTCCATGGGCGGCGGTATTCACGTAACATCAAGTGAGCCGTCTCCTCGCTTGGCAATTTTTCACATAAAAAAATAGTACAACTTTGGTACTTTTGGAAGAATCATGCAGATCTGATTCAATTATCTTAGGGGTCTATACCACAATTAATTGACTTGCAAGGGTATCTAATCGACTATATATACATACACGACTAATAGAAGTTTGATATGAAATTCTATATGAAACAGAGAGCAGTCTGACTTATCGAGGCCTAAGTGGGGTACCCACTGTGTCATAATATTATAACAAGGACAACTAATATTAGTACAGTAGGTTTTACATTTCATGAACAGTAGTACCTCGAGGACCGAGCTTTGTTCATTTTTTTTTTTGGTAAATCATGTATTTTGGAAATAAAAAAACAAAAAATTAAGAAAGCAATGATCGGGTATAGAAAAAAAGTGAAAAAAATATACAAAAAGTAAAAAAAATAAGTGTGTAAATGATCTTGATACGAACCGCGGCCGTCTGTATAGGGACCGCCCGATTACCGACCGAAATATTATAACATTTTTTTTGCGGCGAAATTTACCGTCATATTCGAATGATATTTTTCATATTTTTTTCATCATAGCTAGATCGATTTTTCGCCCCCGAATCTACGCACATACTAAATTTCTTGAAAATCGCTGGAGCAAGAATTGCTCGTTTAATGGATAAGATTATTTTTTCTTTGACTTTGACTGTAAATAGCTTATAATAAGGCGATATCTATATGGTTACTTTAAAGACATTAATTTACCAAAAAAATTAAATTTGTAATTTATTTAAACACTAGCGGCCTGCCCCAGCTTCGCAACGGAATAAACATGTTGTTTTGTAATTAAATCTGAAAATAGTCTTAGGAACTAAGAACTAACTAATTTACATGATATCGCTGAGGCCTTTTCAGGATTCCGTACCCAAAGGGTAAAACGGGACCCTATTACTACGACTCCGCTGTCTGTCTGTCCGTCTGTCATCAGGCTGTATCTCATGGACCGTGATAGTTAGACAATTAAAATTTGATCTGGGTGTTTATTACCCAAGGAGGGTTGACGTCAGGCACGCGGCTGGTTGTAAAAATGTAGCCAAAACCGCTAACAATTCATGTTGTGCCAACCCCACCATTTTTTTGTTAACGTGGGGGAAATGCCTACGCATACCCACCGTCGCGGGGGCAAGAGCGGGTTATGTCGGACTCGCACCGACTAAAACCCCCACGATGTGCCACCTAGGCGCATATAGGCAGGGCCACGAGAACGCTTTCGCTCACTTCCGCGACCCTGCCAGCGCTGGCCGCCTCAGCAGCCCCCTCCCGGAGAGCAACTGTCCTCTCCTGAAGGTAAGGCGCGCTGGAAGAACATTCAGCGCCCTTTCCTACTCGGCCACATTTTTACGACCAATGAACTCCGCCGAGTTCACTGACCAGGGCCATGGAAGCCAGTGCTAATAAGCAGCAAGCCTCCCAGCCCCCAGCGTCGGACCTTGTCTGTGGCTCCAGCGCTCACCACGTTTCGGCCGCGGAGGGAATTTTGTTCCATAATTTCTATCGCGCCAAACGAAGTCGAAGTTTCGGGTGTTGGTTAAAAATGTCCAGATGGTGAATGATTATTTGTCAAAAGATTTTTTATTGGCTGTGGCGGCTCCTCAATATTGGGGAGACTAACTTTCCCAGAAGCACAGCACATACCATTTGGTTCATCGGCTCATTTTTTGGCAGAACACTTAAAGCAAATCTTTTTCATGGCTCCGATTTGGACGGAATACTGTTGACTATAATGCATGAAAGCTGATCAGTTACTGTGAGCTAAAACTCGATTACGAACTGTAGTCGTTGACGTTTTTTGTCTTTTTCTCTGATCTTGTAGGCGTTGGGAACGCTTAGAGCTCGATTTCCAGGGGTGAGTTTATATATTTCTAATATTTTGCTCTTCAAGCCGCTGCAAACACTCTACTCGAACCCCAACAACAGCCCTCGCCTGGGAACTATTTCTAGAAATATGAGATCTTGATCTTTTGGGCATTTTAAAAAGATTAAAAAAATTAAACTGCCTTTGTACTTAATTACTTGCTAACTGTTGAACGAGAAATACCAGTAAAATGTGATTAAAAAATTATAAGAACTACTAAGTCAGTCACTAAGCTGTTTGGATAGTTAAATTACATAATACTAACATTTTTAAACTTGTGATATCTTTCGAATGGAATGTCCGAATTTAATAATTCAAAAAGTTATATAAGGATATTGAAACAGTCTTAAATATGAAGTAAATTATTTTTATAAGGATTAACACTAAGATACAAATAAAGAGCCTTTTCTAGCGGCAGCATTTCAAACTTTTAAAATAAAAAAACACATATTGTGGCATAACTATAATAGTTAGACATATGCTATCGTGACACTTTTTGTAAATCATGATGTGTTCTGCAAAGTCATAGTACATTATTTTATTCTATCATCAATAGTTTTCGCAGCGCACGCGATGTAAAGAATATTTTAGGTAATTTTTGTACACTTTTGGTTACATTATTGAAGTTTTAGTAAGGATCCCTATTTTTTTTTTTAAAATATCATATAGCCTATATCAACCGGGGATAATGTAGCTTCCTAACAGTGAAAGAATTTTTCATATCGGTTCAGTAGTTTCGGAGCCAATTCATTACATACAAACAATCAAATCTTTCCTCTTTATAATATAGAAGATAGAAGAAGATAGATTAAGAAGATTCGACGTGTGCCGTTGCTCATTTATTTTTATTCGGGATGGCTTAACTAAAACCCGCCTTCGGTAAATTTTATAGATCACTGAAACTATTTATTTGCAAACCATATAAAAGATCGGATATCTACATGATATAAATTAATTAAGTATTTTTATCTAACTATTCTTTCGAAGTTTATAATGATGATTTAAAATGGTAAAAAAGTTATCTTATTATAATTATTCACGTATTAATACATAGTTTTCTTCTGTATTACACGAAACAGAATAAAAATAACATGTCTGCGGCCGAAGGTCGCATGCAATCGAAAGGTCATCGGGGGCGTCGTACCTGAGGAAGTAGTCGTGCACGAAATCTTGATTCTCGTCCAACCAGGCTTCGGTGCGGGCACACTCGGCGTCGTAGCAGGTGGGCGCGGGCACGCCGCTGCCCGCGCCTACCGAAGGCTCCTCTATGCTCCGAAGCTGAAGGCCTGGAACAACGGAGAGCGCCGTTTCAATCAACGTTCGCAACCATCAAGTGGCGGCGTAGACGGAGTACGGAAGATACGTCCTTTCGTGGAAATCTAAAAGTAAAGTGGTAGCCTTTATACATATATATATCACAGCTGGGTAAAGGCCTCGTCTGAACAGCGGGTATCAGGGCATAGTCCGCTGATCCACGGTGGGGTCGCGCCCCCGCTGATTAGCGGTCTTATTATTTTGAAAATATGTAGATCTCCTCACCATGTTCACCTACACCGCTGAGCACATAATAAGTCAGCAGTCATAATTGCAATCTACTATTTCATTGGTGCCGGCATCGTAATTTGAACTCTACAGTTTATTGAATTGCTACAGTATATTGAATTATAAATAATCACCCAGAAATTTTTCGTGTATAGTCCAGTGAATGATGTGACCGGAGACCCGACATCACCAATAGTTCACAACAAATGTCTGCAGTTATCAATGGATGCTAAATTTGAGTGTGTTTGTTCCTGATTCCGTAGAAATAGAATGAAATAATATAAAATTATAAAAAAAAGAATAAGTAATATGTAGAATTCCTTTTCTTTGGAATAATCCTTTAGACCTCGTTTAAATTTAAACTTTATTTAAGCAAAAAGAAACGCGAACAGAAAGCTGCATTACATACACCGTGAGTATCGCCAAACACGAAATTATAAAAATAAAAATATGACCGGAAACGCTAATTACGCGCTAAGAGACTATTCGGGTGTTGCACAGAGTTGCTTGGCTAGAAATGAATAAAAAAGCACTTAACCGATATTGGGTATCAATGACCACAGCAAAAACACACCTTCACGTTTTTATGAACTGTTAAGAGTCTAATTACATTATATAGATTTAATTATTGCGTGATAAGTTAAAATCATTTGCATATTAATAGCACATCACACTTCACCCGCCGACATGCTTTTGCTCACAAACGCTTAAATACGCATGTACGCACACACTTGTCAGTACACTAATACCGACACCTTAAATTTCATATTCATTTTTAATGTTAATATTACTCCATTTTTACCATTTTTAATAACCGTCGCCATAATTTGGGGAGAAATTAAGAAATTATTGTTATTATATCTACTGGGCTGCCGTATAACTTCTCTTTCGCTCAGGTTATGAGGTCAAAGCCCGGTCATGCTGACAACTGATAAACTTACCACACCATTGCTACACCGACGAAAATCTTAACGTCTTTTATCTACATTCTTTTTAGCATTTGACGCAATGCTTGGCGCATCCATTGTTATATCATATATAAAACGATATTCGTAATTGTTTGTATGCTGGACAGGATAAAACAATAGATGCGCCAAGCATTACTTCAAATACTAAAAACAATGTAGATAAAAAACGTTAAGATTTTCGTTTGTGTGGCAATCAGCCGTTTAGCTTAGTGGCTAAAGCGTCAGGCCGCGAACGCCGAAGACGTGGGTTCGATTCGCACAGCGGCGACAATCTTTTCATACTTTTTCTACAAATATTAATGTTTAATCTTAAGTGCAGAGATTAGCACTATAAAAATTAAATAACTGTTTAACTTTATACGTCTTTGATGAATTTGTTTCATGGTTATATGCCGTGCAAATTCTCTCCCTCCATAGATAGAATGTGCTAACAGAATCCAAACCCCACAGTATTCTTCAATACTAGGGACGCACAATCTATGATCATAAGGAAGTAAAAGCGTGCTCCATGGCAGTCTATGAGGTAGGTCTAAGTTCAGCAGTGGACTTCATCAAGCTGAAATGATGATGAGTTTGGATTCTACAGATAATACAACCGGTATCACAACCCTACAGTTTTATTTGGTTCTAAACGTCTTATCTAGTGAAAAATATAAGATAAAATAAAACCGCAAAGAGATGCAAAAAATTAGATGCGGATCTATCAGCCAATATTCAAAGATCCATGCGCATGATCGTCTAATTATAATGAACGATGTTACCACGACAGTGGAAATTCTTAAGTTTTTTTAAGCTATTTTGCATAGCTTTTATCGCAAGCTTTAAGCGCGGCGACCGAATCAAGAAATTCCGTAACGAAAATAAAACCTAACACCCCCCACTCCGCCTACCATGTACTTCAGCCGAACGTACGCTTAACGTGTACGTATATGGTACGACTGTGCGAAGCACGCACGGATGGATATTATGATATTACAATATTATATTATCATATTATGATATAATATTTGGAGGATATCAAGTCTCAAACTTATGTTTCTTATTTCAGTTACCATAAACCTATAGTTTCAATCTTGAAAATTCCTTAATAACCTACATGTATTATAAGATAATAAAAATATTTTAAATGAGATTAACTTCTCATTTTTTATTCAATAAAAGAAAAAATTTTTCTGATATCAGTCACCACACACAAAAAGTGTAACTTAAATTAATATCAAAGAAAAAAAAATACTGCATAAATAAAAAAAATATATAATTGCATAAGTTGATAAAAATTGCTATGCAATAGCTTTACCGCGGCAGCCCCCGAGTGCCACAGGTTTTTTCTTAGTTTCATAGGTCTCTATCAGTAGTTATATGCTATTAAAATTTACGGTGGTAGGGCCACATAGCAGCCTCGGCTGTTGCACGAATGGGCAGGCCCGTCCGGGTAAGTACCACGACCTCACAGAAGACCAGCGTAAAGTGGAAGTATGACAAATACTTTCGCGTTTCGTCTGGTGAGTGAGGTAGCCGGAGCCCAATTTTCAAAAGTTTGTCAACGCATCTGTAACCCTCGGGTGTAGAAGATGTCCATTGGCGGCAGTATTCACTTACCATCAGGTGAAACGTCTGCTCGTTAACCTTTCACATAAAAAAAAATAAGCAAAGCAATTACGTTCAGTTTTTTTTTTAATTGAATGGAAACATTGAAATTTTACTTATTTTCTCTATCGATTAAAATTTTTTTCTAGCTTGAAAAACGAGACGTACTATTTGAAATTTTGCCACATTTTTTTATATTGAGAAATAATAGAAATAAATGAAATACCGTAATTTTTAAATGTATAATCATAATAATTTAAGAATCACAATCAACACCTGCCTGGTACACTTTTGCTCCAACCAACGCAGCATCCAAACATTTTAAATCTAATACTTATGTAGATATTAATTTCGATAAGAAAATACACTCTCGTGACGTATTGGCCCGTCAATAGTGACAGGTTAAATAACTCATTTCTCATTTTGATTAAAAGTGGCCAGCTTAAACGAAATTAAAAACAAACTTTTTTAAAATATGTGAATATAATAAGTATGCTAATTTGGTCTTTTTCAAACCGCAATTGAAATGGTGGGACAAGCCCACCAAATCTCACGATTGATACAGAGTAAAAGCTTTACGCCCGGTTTTTGAAACACTGTCGTAGAAGTTAACTAGTCAGCTGTCAAATGACTCCGAAAAAATTAGTACTAATTTTTGTTACTTCCTTACATGTAGAGAATGTGGGTGAAATTTAAAAGTTTGCGGAGAATTAAGTTGAGATGAATCTTAATCAAGATGCTGCGAATTCTATATTTCCTGTCAATAGCACTGTTTATATACATATAATAGCTGTTTTGCTTACAGTGTTTACACTTGAAGGTCAATAGACTTTAGGAAATAGAAGTTAGGGTCTTGTTGCTTGCAATGCGCCAGCTTATGTATGCAATTTATTTTAATGTGTCATCAACCATAAATATGGATACTTACAATGTTTAACATTTTATATTAGTGAAGTCAAGTAAAATTTAAATAGAACACGGGTATAAATCAGCAGCATACATAACAATTCTTTGAAGTAGTGAAACAAAAAGAAAACAGACCAGATACATTAAAATACGCGAGAAAATTATCTTAATAACTTGTTTCTTGCAATTTTTTGCGGAACACCGGTTTGTTTTATCAGGTTTTTGGTATTTTTTTGTAATTCAGATGAGAGCTTTATTTTATTACTTTAGATGAATGAGGCGCAAAATGTGTGAATGAATCGTAGAAAAAAATCTGTAAAAATATAACTTCTAAATGGAGGCTAAACGTTCATACATACATATTATGTATATATGTATTTTATGTCGAACAATACCAACGCAGAACAATACACCAGCCGAAACGCATAACATTCTGTTAATAATAACAAACAGATACGGCTACACTCAATAGATTTCCATTAGCATAATGCATAATCCTTTTTAATACGCGACGCAGAAACCAATTTTAAAGCGAATCGACTGTTAATAAGAGTCACTGAGTGCGACTGCCTAAAAGGTAAATATTATCAAAAACATATCGAGATATAACGTAATAAGAGCAGAAGCGACTTATTGTTCTTGTGTTCCTTCGCTTTGTAGCTCTGAAGTGTCATGTGGTCAAAGGATTTGGTTAAAATAAAAATCGTTAATAACTCACCAAATATGTCATGGTGTGTGTTGAGATATTACAATACTAATACAAGGAATACGGCGAAATGCAAAGGAATAGCTTTCCATCGTTGCCAATATGTATTATTGAGATGAAATGCTACGAAATTATTTAATTGAACCCATGTTGCGTCATGGAAGCGAGGTATTGTTACATATCGTCGAACAAAACCCGTAAGCGACAAAAAATTCACGGCGGTTAAGATATTTTTTTGGACACGAGAAAACTGCATATTAAAATATGATGACATAAATATTGCTTTGGCACTGCAGCAAATTTAATCTTAAACCTACCAGAAATGGAACAAAACCATTTTGATATTGTAGAGAAACTATTTGACCAAGAACTTTTGGTCTAAATAGCTTCTCTATAACATCTCGATGCTAAAGCAAAATAGCAAAACAGTTTCACAAAGCTCAACAATTTCAGTAATTATTGATTGCAAACATCACCCGAGATTAACTAAGCATAATAACTTCGTTACTGTTGTCTCCAGGCCTTAAAAAGAATACGCCATCTGAATAATCAATTAAAAATCCCCCGCAGTTGTACT